GGACAACAGGAATTAGACAAAATTTTGATTACAAGATTTGACCACGACAAACATAGGAGTCAAGTTAAATAAAACCGTTGAAAAACTACAACGTTTCAATTCCAACACAAGCAGTCGTGATCAGGATGATGATAACCGCATCCTGATGATGACCGCTTGTATTGCCATCGAAACGTCGTAGTTGAGTTTTTTTTACCTATCTACGTGACTTTCCGAAAGACCCAAAGAATACACGAAAAAATTCCTTGAGGAAAGGAATAAGCACAAAAAGTATTTTTTTAAAGTGAGTTTGCTAATCTAGAAAGGAATATGACAACAGATTAGGATAGTAGAAGTGGCTTATCACATGCATATTTATCGGAACCCAAACACTTAAAATGCATGCTGCAAAATGTGTAGGGGAAAACCATAGGACCGAGAGAAAAATCCACGTGACCACGGTGAAAGAGACGCACAAACTCCAAATATATAACAGGTGTCAGGGTCAGGATCGAACCCACGACCTCCTGTATAACAGGCAAGGTAGTTAACGTCTCACCGCCGTGGTGACATCAGGTGTCCATCTCATTAATTGCAGAATGACCGAGATAATGTGGGTGATTAGGAGCATAAATCATGTGAACTTTTATCATCCTCGCAGCGGCATTTGGCTAGCCATCGTCTGGAAGAGCTCTTCCAATATTAGTAAGCCACTAGGAGCTATGTACTTTAAATGATCATTTAGATTGGCAAACTCATTTTTTAAAATGCTTTTTGTGCTTAGTATGTTGTCCCCCCCCCCCGCACCTCCGATTAGCATGGTTGGCTATGTATGGTGCGAAAGAAGTTCAACATACGTACACAATACAAGAAAACTATAATAGTTTTTTTGGGTTAGATTGCATGAATATAAATGCGTAGTTAAATCCGCCACCACTCGACACAGCCAATTAATAAGGTTTGTCACGAGGTTTTGTTTGGGTTAGATTGTGTGAATATAAACGTTTTGATCGCAACACAAGCAATCGTCATCAGCGGATGACGATTGCTTGTGTTGCCATCATCATCAGGTGATGATTGCTTGTGTTGCGATCAAAACGTCGTGATATTGTTAATATTTTTATTATTTTTTCTATCTACGTGGCTTTACCGAAAGACCCACAGAACATGATTTCCTGCAGTCACGAAAGCTTTAAGTCAAACACATTCCTGCGGAGGGAGCTGGTAGGAACGTTGGGTTGCTCGGTCAATGGCCAGGGTCAACGGCGGCACCACGTGGTGTATTCCGCAAATATGCCCGACTGTGAGGGCGGGCACAAGCCGGCGTGAGTAGGTTAAACGTTGAGATTTATAAGGGCAACATGGGGTGACCAGCCCCTCCCCGACCAGCCCCTCCCCACCCAGTACCTCCCAACCCAGATCCACCCCTCCCACCCCCCACCCAGCCCCACCCTCCACCCAGCCCCACCCCTCCCATTTTATCCGGGTGTCCGGATACACGTGGACAGACATCCAGAGACAAACACAATTAATCCCCTGCCTCCTGTGAATTAATCCCGGTTGGGCTTCCAGTCCACTACGTTTCCAACCAGTAATGCCCACTAGGAGCGCATTTGTTATATATCCGGGTGTTCGGATACACGTGGACAGACATCCACAGACATACACAATTAATCCCCTGCCTCCTGTGAATTAATCCCGGTTGGGCTTCCAGTCCACTACGTTTCCGACCAGTAATGCCCACTAGGAGCGCATTTGTTATATATCCGGATGTCCGGATACACGTGGACAGACATCCACAGACACACACAATTAATCCCCTGCCTCCTGTGAATTAATTCCGGTTGGGCTTCCAGTCCACTACGTTTCCTACCAGTAATAATAACTTTGTACATGGCCTGAATTCCCGCATTGGCCTTCGTTTACTAGAGACGGCTGCCGCAACACCGCTGAGTGCAACAAGTCAGGCGTCGCAGCGCACTCCCCGTCATGAACGTTGACAATGCCGTAATCGTTTTCATCAACCCCGTCATTATCGTTGTCAATATAGTGGCTCATCGACGCAATATCCTTGTGGTCATTTACAATGGCGTCCTCCTCAACAGCATTAGATTCATTGGCGATGAGCTGCCGCATCTCAGCAGAATCGTCAATGGTGATGCCTTCAAAGCTGGGATGACGCAGTTCCTTCCATGTAGCCAGCCATTCGTACACGCCGCCCGCGTCCAACTGATACAGTGCCCGATAGTGCCGCGATGCCTTGCGCCAGGCGTCGCGTGGGTCCAAAAACGTCACATGTGGGCGATGCGCCGGCGATAGATTGGGCAGGACCTTGGCAACTTCAATAGGGCCATCCGATAGAAAGCAGATGCTATGTGCAGTCGAATGGTTTGGGCGGACGAGCAAGTCAATGTTAAAAGCACGAACCGGCAAAACCGCACGTAGAGTGTTGGAGTTCAACAAAGGCAATGCCCCACGGCGGCCATAGTCGTGTCCATTTCGCAGACTGAAATCATGCTTGACTGGGTCCTTTTGGCAGATTACGCAGAGAACAACGTTCTTCGGGTCCGGCACCAGGTCCGGGTTGAGGTAGTAGTATACGTCTTCCACTGGCAGAACCGAAACGTGGTGCTCGACGATGTGCTGCGGCATGGCACGGATTTTTAACACGTCACTTTCGCTGAGCTTGAAAGACGGATGCAGCTTGCCGACAGGTCCTGCATCTCGGATGGTATTGTTCATTTCAAACTGCACTTCGTTGCAAGAGGTGCAAACTGCTATGCGACCAGTTGCCGGGTCGTGAGCACGCGCACTGGCCTGACAGCGCGCCGCGTCGTCCTGGCCAACGGCATCACCGATTGCTCGCATAATGCGCTCGCAGACAGACGGTCCGCCTTCGCCATGAAGAGTCTCGTCGTTAAAAACAAAGGCGTCTGGATGGCCTGAGCACAGGTAAAAATTACAGCTGGCCAAAGTGCGGATGTTTTGTATAGTTTTGCGATTTGGCCAGCAACTTGACGGTTTCGGCGTCAATTTGTCAAGCATCCAAGATATTTTCTGCAATTTTGGCCAGCATTTCGTCTTCGGACTGGCGTGCGGACTTTTTGGCGGAGCCTTTGCGCTTGTGCTTGGCCGAATTGGCTACTGGCTTCTTATTATGTCTGGCGGCAAAATTGCGGGTTTGGTTGGCGAGCAGACGGGCCGCCCTGACTTCTGGTGTTTCATTCTGTCTGGCAGCGCGTTTGCGGTTTCTGTCGGCGAGCAGACGGGCTGCCCTGACATCTGGCGTCTCATGCTTTCTGGTGGATAGTGGCTTCTCATCCTGTCTGGCGGCAAGTTTGTAGTTCCGGTTGGCGAGCAGACGGGCCGCCCTGACATCTGGCGTCTCGTCCTGTCTGGCAGCGCGTTTGCGGTTGCGATCTGCGAGCAGACGGGCCGCCTTGATATCTGGCGTCTCATGCTGCCGGGCAGTGCGTTTGCGGTTGCGGGGGGCGGGCAGACTGGCCGCAGTGGGGCTCAGGCTTGAATCCATAAGTTCTTCGCGACAGTTCCGCCAATGGGTCGTGCGCAGAAGAAAGCAAAATGAGAAGTGAGCAGAATTATAAAATGACGCCAGAAAGTGCAGTGTAAAAGAGGTCGCACCAGAAAGTACAGTATAAAAGAGGTCCCCACCAGTCGCACTAGAAAGTGCAGTGTAAAAGTGCCCTACCCTACTTACCCTACCTACCCTACCCATCCCCTACCTACCCTACGTAACTTACCTGCCCTACACATCCACCCTACCCCTACCCTACCCTAACATTCCTTAACCAACTCCTACCCTACTTCTACGGACATTTCTCCTGGTATCCGGATAATAGAGAATGTATTATCTGGATATCATATATATCCGGGTGTCCGGATACACGTGGACAGACATCCACAGACATACACAATAATGCACTGCCTCCTGTGATTAATCCCGGTTGGGCTTCCAGTCCACTATGTTTCCTACCAGTAATGCCCACTAGGAGCGCATTTGTTATATATCCGGGTGTCCGGATACACGTGGACAGACATCCACAGACAAACACAATTAATCCCCTGCCTCCTGTGATGATAATCCCGGTTGGGCTTCCAGTCCACTACGTTTCCTACCAGTAATGCCCACTAGGAGCGCATTTGTTATATATCCGGGTGTCCGGATACACGTGGACAGACATCCACAGACATACACAATTAATCCCCTGCCTCCTGTGAATTAATCCCGGTTGGGCTTCCAGTCCACTACGTTTCCTACCAGTATTAGTAACTAATATTAGTTAGGGTCGTGCGTGCTCCTCAGGTTAGTAACCACTGGTCTGTTATATGTAAAAAAAACACTGGTCTATTTGATGTAAAAAACAACCACTGGTCTATTAGATGTGTAATGACAGGGTGACCACTGCCGGCCTGCAAGAGTAATTACGGTTATAGCTGCATTACATTAGTAACTAATATTAGTTAATATTAGTTACTAATACTGGTAGGAAACGTACTGGACTGGAAGCAAACTGGGATTAATTCACAGGAGGCAGGGGATTAATTGTGTACGTCTGTCCACGTCGGAGGGGTGGGGCTGGGTGGAGAGGGGAGGGTAGGGAGGGGCTGGGTGGGGAGGAGCTGGGTGGGGAAGGGAGGGTGGGGAGGGTCTGGGTGGGGTGGGGCTGGATGGGGAGGGGCTGGTCACCCCGTGGTGCCCTTATATGGACTGGAAGCCCAAACCGGGATTAATTCACAGGAGGCAGGGGATTATACACTGCACTTTCTGGTGCGACCTCTTTTACACTGCACTTTCTGGCATCGTTTTATAATTCTGCTCACTTTTCATTTGGCTTTCTTCTGCGCACGACCCTAACAAGTGTGGCTTAAATATCCGTACATAATTACTTCAAAATTTCCTACCAGCCCCCTCCGCAGGAATGTGTTTTAGCACTAATCGGTTGTGTGGAGAGCAAAAACCCAAAGCGTTTTTTTTCTTTCCTCTCTCTCCGCGACCTTACCTTCACCAACGTCCTCCTCATCCAACTCCACCTCGACAAAGTTTTGGTCTGCAGTGGCCGGGCACCCACGGAAGCTCCCCATCACCGCCGGTCTCTCATTGGCTCTTCTCTCAAATTTGAAGTGATTAAAATCCAAGCCTGTAATAATAATAAGCACAATCATTCATGACAGATGGAAGGTCTAATAACACAGTGGTTGTTAACCTTTACTGCAGCCTTGCACCCTTTTGGTTCTCAATCGTAAAAAAAAATGTATGTTAATAAACACAGAGGGTTTGATGAAACAAAATATTTGTTTTCATTGGTTCTTTCGGTAAAGTCGCGTAGAATGAGAATAAAATAATAAAATAAAACAATAAAATTCTCACGACGTTTCGGCCACAACACAAGTGGCCTTCTTCAGGTGAAAGGAACAAACCTGTCAGGACGACAGGGCTACAATGAACACGATCTAAAAAAGGCTGTGTGTGTGTCCCGCGCGTGACGTCACTTCACATGCACCCTCCCCTCATTATTATTCATGTGTGCCTGGATTTTTAGATTAACGCAGAAGGTCGAGTGGCTAAATATGGTATACCGAGAAATCTTCCAAAGTCCTTAATTTCATATAATAAGTAAAGAAACATTTCCTTACATGCTACATTTCCAAATAAAATTTACAATCACAAAATAAAACATTAATTTACATCTTTTATTTTACAGGACGAGCTAACAAGCTAGTTATATGAGTGAAATAGACTCGTTGGGATGTGTCACGAAATACGTTGAGAACAAATTAAAAACAATATTTCAACTGTTTTTTTTGCAAATATATCCTCCAATTAACATTAATTAACATGGAACAAACTTAACGAGCCTAAAAAAGGTTACACTTGACGTAACAATGATCAGTACAAAAAATATTACTTTAGGAAAGGAATATGACAACAGATTAGGATAGTAGAAGTGGCTTATCACATGGACATTTATAGCAACCAAATTTCGATTTAAAGCTTTCGTGACTGCAGGGATTCACATTCTTGGTTCTTTCGGTAAAGTCACGTAGAAGGGAAACAATAAAATAATAAAAATATAAAAAATAAAATTCTGACGCCGTTTAGACCTGATGATTGCTTGTTTTGTAGTTGAAACGTCGTGAGAATTTTATTGTTTTATATTTTTATTATTTTATTGTTTCCCTTCTACGTGACTTAACCGAAAGAACCACGAAAAAGCAACCAAATACTTTAAACGCATGCTGCAAAATGTGTAGAGGAAAACCGTAGGACCCAGAGAAAAATCCACGTGACAACGGTGAAAGAGACGCAAAAATTTCAAAAAGACAACAGGCGTCAGGATCAGGATCGAACCCACGACCTCCTGTATACCAGGCAAGGTAGTTAACATCTCGCCACCGAGGTAACATCAAGTGTCCATCTCATTTATTGTAGCATGACCGAGATAATGTGGGCGATTAGGAGCATAAATCATCATGCCAACTCCTATCATCCTCGCAGCGGCTTTTGGCTGGCCATCGAACAAAGATGGTCACCGCATTGCGCGCTTTCAGATGTGCTTCTGCGGCCGCCTGAAACAGCTCTTCCTCCCGATATTAGTAAGCCACTAGGAGCTATGTACTTTTAAATCATCATCTAGATTTGCAAACTCATTTTTAAAAAATGTTTTTTTGTGCTTAGTATGTTGTCCTTTCCCCCCTGTACCTCCGATTAGCACGGTTGGCTATGTACGGTGCGAAAGAAGTTCAACATACCATACGTAAGTAAAACAAGAAAACTATAATAGTTTTGTTTAGATTGCATAAATATAAACGTGCCATTAAACCCGCTACCACTCGATACAGCCAATTAATAAGGTTTGTCAGGTAAACAAAATGTGCCAATTAGTTAATACTTTAGCACTAATCGGTTGTATGTTGGAGAGCAAAACCCACAGCAACATTTACACATTTGAGTACCGTGACGTTTTTGCTGGTAATTATGACTACAACCAGCCTCATCAGGTGATTCGCCAGAACTGTGGAGAAATCCTCCTCTTGTTTGTGGTGAAAGCCTACTTAACGTATTAAACCAAACGAGAAAGCGTTTTTTTACACGTTTTTATTTAACTCACCGTCTGTTGTTGTCGTATCCTCAAATCTTGTAACTACATTTTTACCCACTTCACAATGTGGTATCGACTGCAAACTTTGTATAGTTATGTCATACTGATGGAAATACAATATTCTATCATAAAAAAAAAACATTTTAAAATACTATTTTTTACATGCTTTTATTTAACTCACTCTGTCTGTTGTTGTCGTATCCTCAAATCTTGTAACTCAATTTTTACCCACTTCCCAATGTGGTATCGACTGCAAACTTGGTATACTTATGTCATACTGATGACAATACTATATTCTATAATTAAAAAGTAAAAAATGTTATGTTTCGGCTTGGGTCTAATTGTCCACGCTCAACTGACGTTGGCTGCAAATCACCACGGTCCCTTACATTATGGCAAACTTCGGGGCCACTTCCTGGAGTCGTGGAGTTCTGCCATTACTCGTACGGTACATTTCATTAAAGCGTGTTTTAAAAAAACGTATTTTTAAATATTACTTATCTTTCCTCTCTCTCTCCACGACCTTACCTTCGCCAACGTCCTCCTCATCCAACTCCACCTCGACAAAGTTTTGGTGTGCAGTGGCCGGGCACCCACGGGAACTCCCCGTCACCGCCGGTCTCTCATTGGCTCCTCCCTCAAATTTGAAGTGATTAAAATCCAGGCCTGTAATAATAATAAGCAGAATCATTCATGACAGATGGAAGGTCTAATAACACAGTGGTTCTTAACCTTTACTGCAGCCTTGCACCCCGTTGGTTCTCAATCATAAAAATATTTTATAATCTTCTTGGTTTTTTCGGTAAAGTCACGTAGAATGGAAATAAAATAATAAAAATAAAACATATTTTATCATTTTGATTTAAAGCTTTCGTGACTGCAGTAATTCATATTCTTAGTTTTTTCGGTAAAGTCACGTTGAAGGGAAACAACAAAATAATAAAATATATATATAAAACAATAAAAAATTATCACGACGTTTCGACCATAACTCAAATGGTCGTCTTCAGGTGTGTTGGTTTGCATTAATTTATTTTTAAACGGCGCCTTTATTTATTTATAAAAAACGTTAGCGCCACGCGCAACGATTTGGCAGTTTATTTAGGACTAGTCATTTATTTTAATATAATTTTATGGTATTTCTACATACGTGACTTTACCGAAAAAAAACAATGAGTAATTTATGCAGTCACGAAAGCTTTAATTCTTTATTAACACACTTCTACGGGGAAGTTACCTTTACAGTCCTGTCCTAAATGTATTGTACCCCTTGCTTTCTCCTACCCCTCCCCCCACCTATGCTGCCTTGCCACCTTGCTCTCTTCGGCCCCTCCCCCCCACCTCTACTTTTTTATTTAAGGCCTCTGTCTATTCATCCCTCCGCCCTTTTTCTTTTCCTTGCTTCTCTGTCCGTCTTTCCTTTCCTTGCCTCTTGGTGTCTATGTATATGTATTTCTGCTGACTTGTACCTCATATTTGTTCACTCTGTCTATGCTGGTATGTTCAATTCAGAGGATGAACACGATATTTAGCACTTCTTAAATTCGTGGTCCGCTAGGCAAGTGTCTGTGTTGTTGGCCTGACTGCTTTTGCATCACGTAATTTTTTATTAGGTTTGTTGAATTCTCGTCTCTCATCTTCTTGTTGTATTTACCTCCGTGCAGTTTGGCGCTCTCTATGTGTTGCGTTGGTGTCGCCCTATATGCTCCCTTGCAATGTTTTTTACACCTGATGAAGATCGCTTGTGTTGCGGTCGAAACGTCGTGATTGATTTATTTTAATATATTTTTATGGTATTTCTACATACGTGACTTTACCGAAAAAACCAATGAGAATTTATGCAGTCACGAAAGCTTTAATTCTTTATGTTTTATAATGTTAATAAACACATGGGGTTTGAAATTGTTACTAACGTACCCGTGCTTAATTTGTCTTTCAAAGATTTGCTTTATAAAAAATACTATGGTCATGTCTCAGCCCCCAGAAAGGGCATCTCGCACCTTCAGTGGGTGCGTGCGGCTAAGGTTAGTAACCACTGGTCTATTAGATGTGTAGTGACGTTAAGGGTGTCACTATGGTGTTAGCGCCAGCCACTGTCACAAGAGTGCTTCTGTGCATCTGGAACCTCTCTCGGGGGCCAGAGTAAGTACGGCATGCGAGCAGGCCCTAGGGGGCATAGTCCTGGTGACGGCCTGAGAGAGGACAAGTGAGGACGGGGTAGTCTGGGTGAACCCGAGAGGGCACGTGACCGGGACAGGGTAGCGAAGGGGGCCGGAGGCACACGTGATGCTCGGTCGGGATCCTACGGGAAAGATCCCAAAGGGGGCGTGGCCGAGGGCAGAGCGAGGCAACACTCAGGAGCATAAAGGGGCAGCTCGAGACTGTTTCCTGGAATCAACCCTCGGCACTATGTCTCTCCGATCTTCGGTCTCCGCTCGGCATCGTGGGTCAGTCAGGATGTTACTGACTGACCCGGTTTTGTAGTTACCCTGTTGGGGCCTAGTTAACTTGAGTACGTTTATTTAGTTAGCCCTGTTGGGGTTGTGTAATAAACGTGTTGCCTCCAAGTCAACTGTGTGCCTCCATGAAGAACACTACAGATGTAAAAAAAAAACAACCATTGGTCTATGAGATGTAAAAAAACAAGTGTTTCATAGGCAGGATATGGATATATCAAATACACTTTTGAATTCTTGATGTGTTTATTTAGTTTTGCTCGACACATCTTCAACTTTCACTTCCACTGTACTAAAGTTATTATTTTAAGTCATATAATACCATGTACATATTATTTTTTATATTGCTGTTGGGCTGACTGGAGGGACGGATGGAAGGATACGCATGTCCAAAGGATGTGGGCATTGTTCGTTTGATGATGACGCAAAAGATTTCCAGTTCTGTTTTTGGCGAGTTATGTTCTTTACATATAAACTCTACCAGCCAAAAATCAAGACAGAGGCACACTCGTCCGAATCGTGGACGGCTACAGACATGACAAACAAAAACATAATTGAGGAACCAGGAGTGTAGGAGTATCGGGCTTCTCTCGCTCACGACAAACCTGCATAAATGGTAGATCAAACAATCACCCAACTACAACTGTGGTAAAGTTCAAGCCGTCAAACGTGTCATCGACGATTTCGTCATTCCATGAACATCCCGGCAGTGTTTCGCTGCAATCCATACAGTGTCTACTGACATCTGAGAGGCGTAGTAGTAGTCGCGCTGTTGTTTTTATAAAGGACGTTGGTCACCGCAGAGAACCGTAGCGACACGACCGCCGCCATTCTATGATAGCTGGGCACCAAAACTGTGCCACACGCCCCTCCCCGCATTGGCCTTGCGGGGAGCCTCCGGACGAAAAAAGTTCATTTAATTTAGTTTTTCTGCCGAATCCATTCCAATTACGTACACTTACACGTACGTCATTGGAATGTGAAAGGGTTAATTGTCCAACCACACCTTAATTACGTACCTTCGTCTTGGAAAAATCAATTTCATGTGTGCCCACAGTGTGTGCCCACAGCGTTAAAACAATGATACAGGAAAGCCATCCACACGGATGCCTATCTAAAGCCTGACTCCCACCACCATCCAGCCAAGAAGAATTTCCTCATCAAAACACTACACCATAGGGCCCATTGCATCTCAGACCAGCACCACCAGTGAGCTGGAGCACGTACACCAAGCCCTCAGGATGAATGGATATTCTGACCGTAAAATCCGCAAAGCTGTCTCCCCAGCCATGGGGAAACAACCATCTGAGGACCCAATCAAAACCATCACCTTGCCATACATAGCAGGGATTACCAAAAAGATTTCCAAAATCTTAAACAAACACAAGATCCAGGTTCGTCTCAACACAGTACACAAAATCCGTGATTTGATCCCATCTGTAAAGGATGTAATTCCTGACATGAAATATCCTGGTGTCTACAAACTAAGTTGTGGCTGCGGCAGCAGTTACATTAGGGAAACGAAATGTCTCGGACCGTTTTCACGAACACAAGGCAGGTCTGAAGCACGGTAGGACCAATACCTCTGCCATTGCGGATCATTGTTTTAACGCTGTGGGCACACACGCAATTGATTTTTCCAAGACGAAGGTACTCTGCAAACCAACTGGCTATCATCAGAGATTTGTTTACGAAGCCATCCAGATATTTTAACAGACACAACTTCAACCGAGAAGATGGGTACAAATTGAGCAATCATTGGAAGGACGTGTTTAACCAGGTAAAGTCTTAACCTGAAGTGATGTTTCCATCCTTCCTGCGATTTTAGCTGACTCTCTGAGTTGCATTATTTGGTTGGATGTCTTTGTATTGACGGGCTGGATGTTGTTCTCGCTCAAGTCACCGATGCTGCGACATACTAGGCAAGTCACCGATGCTGAGGCATACTAAGCTCGTGCATTGATATGCTAATCTCACACAATACATTAGCCACTTCCACAGCCTCAGGGAGACCATCTCTAGCCCCGCCCTCTTACGCTGAGGCTGAACCCATCTCAGGCCTATATAAGACCTTGTTTCAGTAGCTTTCTCTCTCTCACCTGAAGAAGGTCGCATGGTTGCGATCGAAACGTCGCTATCTATGAATAATTTTCTATCTAAGTAACTTTACCAAAAGAACCAAAGAGTATATAATTTTCCGTCTTCTTCTTCTTTCGTATGAATGATGTAGATGCAGAGCAACAACTACAATGTCACATTCAGGTGGTCAAGCCCAGACAACCGCAGAAGCGGAGTAAAGAATCCTCATCGCTGTGATGATGTCTCCTTCGTATTTGTGGATTGTAGGGCATTGAGTCGTTATACGTTGTGTAGGGTCTGTTCTAAGTGACCACAATCGCACCACTACTGGAGTGTTTTCCATTTTCCATTTGTGCATCAGGTAACCGCATCTGCCATGGTTTGTGCAGCGGATGCATTTTAGGGTGGACCATGAGCTTTGTGGAAGATCAAAACCCAAGGATCTTCTGCCTTGGGTCTTTCACAACAAGGTGTGACCAAAATGGAACTCACCTTTTCTAAGGTCCTCCTCGTCCAATTCCACCTTGATGAAGTTCTGGCCTGCAGTGGGCAAGAATCCATTGGAATCTTCCACCTCTTCTGGCCTCTCACTGGCTCCCTCAATCTTCACATTCTTCAGAAGTTCAGCTGGAATGAATAAAACTCAGCCTAAGTTTTCACCTGTGCTTTGAAGAAGGGCCATTGGTTGCCAAAAATGTCACCATTGATATATATATGCTAGTTCATAAAGCCCGTCTTCGCCAGGCAAAAGTTTAAACAAATATAAGAATTAACCTGATGTTTTTTTACAATTTTTATCTATGATCCGACACAAACAACTACTTCAAAAATTAGTACTTTTCCATGCAAAAACTCAAATTGTTGACTTGATTAAACTTTTTATATTTAAAGATGTACCCATCGGAAACCGCTCAATTTAAAGAATCAGTTTTTTATTAGAAAGAATAAAAATGTATGAAGTTAATACTTTATGAGGGGAAGCTATCTTTTACCATTTTGGAATTATTCAGATTTGAACATCATAAATGTGTATTTTTTTCGTTCAAAACTGCTTTAATCTGAAATATCTCAAAAACAATAAAATATAGAACAAGGGTTCTCACTTTAATTTGATTTACCGTTTAACGCTCTATCAAATGAAAAAAAACCCGCAATCTTATATTTTGAAAGGTTTCTGAATGACAAGCACAAACATGTTTATGGGGCATTAAAATCGAGTTTGAGGGGCCTTAAAATAAAAACAATTATCCGATTTTCACATATTTTTTCTGTTGTGTCCTAAAAGCTATCTATGTGCCAAATTTCAGCTTTCTCCCTGGTCAAGAAGTACCTTATAGAGATTTTGAGAAATACATACAGATTAATGTCTTTATTTATATTGAAGATAGATGTAGATTTATTTTTAAGACCACAGTGTTATTGTTCTGCATGAGTATAAAGTATTTTAAGATAAAATGTTTTTATTTTACCAGGTAACGCCCACTGAGCTATACAAGCTCTTTTTCAGGAATGACCTGCCCATAAATTATAGCTTAACGAAATGGCTTATTATCACGTGAAAATGTAGATCAGTAACAAAATGCATGTTGGATCTGTGGAGGGAAAAAACGGAGGACCCAGAGAAAAATCCACATGACTACAGGGAGAAAGAGAGAGAGACACAAACTCCAAATATACAGCAGGCATCAGAATTAGGATAAAACTCACGACCTCCTGTATACCAGGCAAGGTAGTTAACATCTCGCCACTGTGTGGAATATGGCAGCAGCCTTTACAAGGCCCACTCTGTAAAGTGGGAAATCACGACGAATGCCATCAACCAAACTGAGATCATCGATCTCCCAGTCTCCTCGTCTCCACAGCAACAACGCCTTCTCCGTGACCAAAAAGGGACAACTTACCTCGAGCAGTATATTTCTCCAATTTCACCTTGACGTAGTCCTGGTCTGAAGTGGCTACACATGCACGGGAATCCGCCATCTCCTCTGGCCTCTCACTGCCTCCCTCAATCTTAACATTCTTTGGAAGTTGACCTGCAATTAATAAGGCATGGTTTTTCATATGTACTGCAAGGAAGGATAATTGCTCCATGTGTATGTGTTGAACTTCTTTCGCATTGTACGTAACCAATCATATTTATGTTCAACTGCTTTCGCACCGCACGTAGCCAAACATGCTAATTTCCTGAAAGATCACCAACTATATATTCTTTTCTCTTGAAGGCCAGTGTAATTGATAAGTGGATTGAGGGTTCTTTGTTGTATTCCATAGATCGGAGGTGTAATGCATACAAGAGCAAGAGATTTAAACGGCCCAAATATGGACGTTTCTCACCCTCAACGTTGATGCGGTTCCTTAGTTTGTGAATGGAGTCTTGGACTTCCAATTGCATTGAAATTGTAATACAGCAGACTCTCGATTATCTGCGTGTGCGGTTTATCCCATTTGCGGATTAACCACGCACCTGAGATGTTTACATAAAGTAATAACTCGTGGATTTTCCCATTATCCCAAATTAATAATCTAAAAATAGTTAATTATTGTTAGTCTTGGAAATGTTTTTACAAGTCACATGCTTAAACCTAAAAAACATGTGTGCTCCGGTTAATCTGAAATCCATGTGATCACCCCTACAGTACAGTAGTCTATATATATGTCTATATAAAAGTCAAAAATTGTCTTTGTCAGTTTATGGCTTTGTGTGTGTTCGCGCGCTTGCAAAGGATTTGGCACTCCAACGGTGAGGTTTATGTTAAATAAAAATAGCCAGTTACCACGCCGTAAGCTCCGCCGTGAGCAAGCGTTATTCCTTTTTCACTTCCGTCAAGTTTAATTAGCGATTTAGTGCGATTTTTTAGCGCCATCTCTTTATTTATTTATTCATGACGCGTGTACGACCATACCAACTCATGCTCCTTTGGTGGGGGGGGACGGCCCATGCCAAGTCGCACGCCTTCGGTGGGAGTGAGGGGGGCATTTTCATTCACGTTAAAAATGCTTTAAAAAAACACTAAACGCTCAGGTAAATTCTTCACTGTGTGATGTCCCCTCCACCCTGATGTGTGCAGTCACTAATACATACAGTCGCTAGATGTTACCACTATAGGCCGTAGATAGTACTGCAGAGCGGCCGGGGAGATCGTGGCTGGGGGGTGTCAGAGGTAGCAGCCCAGCCCCAGCCTGCCAAGGTGCCACCTCAGCCGGCTGGACAATCTAGGCGAGGCCAGAGGCTCTGCACGGGACTAGGCCTCACCACGCCACACTGTCAGGTGAGTACTTTTTGCTATAGAGTCGATAAATACTGCTATAGAGTCAGCATGTATTACTGTAGTGATAGCAGGTACCACCACAATCGGTATGCACTGCTGTAATCATAGCAGGTACCACCACAGTCAGTACCCACTGCTGTTAGATTTTTAAGAGTAGTTGTGACATATTTTTTTGGCCCGGGCAACACCAGGTATATAAGCTAGTTGCATATATTTGCAACAGTGGGCGAAGTTTTATTGATTTTCATTGGCCTGGCTCTGCTGTCCACTTAGCGGGAGGAGTCTTCTGCACGGGAGCAGGAAAATGTTATCATGAAGCACACGCATCGATCGGTCGATGTAAGTATTTGTTATAAATCGAAAGAGTAACAATTGAAATCGTCATTTGTAATAAAACTATCAATACATACTTTACTCCAAATATTTTTCTGTTCATTAAAAAAACTACATTTTCTTAACTGAAACAAAATTTATACCTAGATTAGTGGTTTTTGACATCAAGATCCACGGGAAATGGATATTTTAGGATTATCCACGGCCGTCCTCCCTGTTATTACCGCAGATAATTGAGAGTCTACTGTACGTGTCGGAGAGAAGAATAGGTGCTACTGATCTCACCGCCATAAATGTCTTCGCTTTTCATCACCAAATCTGGCCAGGTCTCAAGACTCGTATTGTCTTCACATTCTTGTTTGATGGATGCAAAGTCAATCCAAGAAGCCATCTGAGGAGCAAAAATAAAACCAACAACAATAAGACATTTACACGTGTAGTGATTAGATCACAACCGAAAATACCCACCCCTGACTTTATGGACACGGTGTGCATGACACGGACAGTCATGAAAATAAAAACAAGCCCCCCTGATTGGTACTTCACGGGCCTGAAAGGGGATTGGTTCGAGGCAGGGAAATTTAAGGAGGTTGGATAAATATAACAGGGAAAGAGCATGAAACGGAGGAAGAGTGACAGGGAGGATGGTTGGAATGCATTAGAGAAAGTGGAAGTCGATTGGCTGGAGGAATTTCAGAAATTTAAGGAACCTTTGGGAAAGGGGCTTGAGGGATAATTTAAGGGAAAGCGAGATAGTTTGAGATTCCTGAAGTGAAGGGAATCCTTGAAAACCCGCTTGTGTCCCGTGCCTGGGGAAATAAAGACTTCTATTTGTTGGAGACTACACACGTATAAATAAAACATCCTACAAATAACCCTATATAGCCTTTCGGTAAAGTTACATATTTAGAAAATGAATAGATCATGACGTTTCGATTGCAACACAAGCAACCGTCATCAGGTGAGACAAACACAGCAAGAGAACTGCTGATGCAGTCAGCCAGCAGATCGAAACATCGTGGCCATACGTGACAAGTTCGTCACCTTGCCATACATAGCAGGGGCTACCAAAAAGATTTCCAAAATCTTAAACAAACGCAAGATCCAGGTTCGTCTCAACACAGTACACAAAATCCGTGATTTTATCCCATCTGTAAAGGATGTGATTCCTGACATGCAATATCCTAGTGTCTACAAACTAAGTTGTGGTTGCGGCAGCAGTTACATTGGGGAAACGAACCGACATGTCCCGGACCGTGTTCGCGAACACAAGGCAAATTTGAAACATGGCAGAACTAAATCTCTGCTGTGGCTGATCACTGTTTGAACGCAGTGGGCTCACACGACATTGTCTTTTCCGAGACAAAGGTACTCTGCAAACCTTCGGGCTACCATCAAAGATTTGTCCATGAAGCCATCCAGATTTATAAACACAGACATAACTTCAACCGAGAAGATGGACACAAATTAAGCAAACATTGGAAGGACATGATCAACCAGGTTAAGTTAACTGCTTTGATGTTCCCTTCCTACCTGCCAAAATTCACCGAATCTCAAATTTCCGAACCCTAGCCGAGCTCGGCCCTCACCGAGCTTACGTTTACATTTCCAAGCAAATTTCGGGCCCTAGCCGAGCTCGGCCCTTGCCGAGCTTACATTTACAGTGAAACCTTGGATTGCGAGTAACTTGGTCTGCGAGTGTTTTGCAAGACGAGCAAAAATTAAAAGTAATTAATCATTTAATAAACGAGCGATGTCTTGCAATAACGAGCAGTACGTACAGTACACGCTTTGTCTGTTGAGCGTCACGTGATCACAACTGAGCTAATGGTTCTTCTCTCTCTCTCGCTGCGGGATTGTGGGTAATCATCTCCCATGCTCGGTCTCAATTGGCGTGCCTCACTCGTACAGTCAACATCCTTGCGAGCGTATACTGTTTACTACAGTATAATGTTGTGACTACGTGTGTGTGCGTTAAGCATTTTTTTTTATTGTGTCCAAGTGTAGTGACTGTTGCAGTACCTGTACTGCAAGTGAATGTCGTCCTACACAATAACCCTCCTCCTCCTCTCCTCTCTCTCGTCTCCCTCACACCAGCCACGAATAAATGCAATTAATACATTTGATTACTTTATATTAAATTTAAATAATAAAAATATAAAAAGATATTTTGTATTAATAATTTTTATATGAATACAATATTTTTGGGTTGTGGAACGAATCATCTGAGTTTTCCATTATTTCTTATGGGGAAATTCGCTTTGATATACGAGCACGTTTCCGGAACGAATTTTGCTCGCAATCCAAGGTTTCACTGTCCAAGCAAATTTATTTCTCCTACTCGCTCTCTCCTACTCGCTCCCACATTAACATTAACTGCCACGCCCATCTATAAACCTTTATAAACAGCCTGCCTCAACAGATTCCCCCCCTCTTGAATTCTTGTGTCCCATTGTCTCGCCGATCATGCGTAGTTTCTTCCTTGGCCCTCGTGCCGCGTTCGAATTTGTTGCCCCTTTACATCTCAGCCCCGCCCTCTCTGTCTATTTAAAACCTTGACACAGAGATGATGCTTCACTGTGTGCCTGTCTCTCTCCATGTGTCTCTGTGCTAACTCGTTCTGCTTGGATGTCTATATATGTGTATGCGGTCTGTATATTTTTTAGATTTTAAATGTCACACTTAACTTACAATTTGGCAATCTTTGAAATAACGTAACCAACCTGACCTTGCGTTAATTGTGTTTTGACCGTCTGTGTTGCGTTATATGGTTTCCAAATCTTGCTAAAACCTGTTTGATTTAGTGTGCTCCCACGTTTCTCTCTCTCTCTCTGTATCCCCTGTTGTATCTGTGTCTATATCTGCGGTTATGTGTCTCCTCTCGTAAATTTAGCTCTTCTGTACCTGATGATGATTGCTTGTGTTGTACCTGATGATGATTGCTTGTGTTGCAATCGAAACGTCGTACAAAATTATGTTATTTTATTATTTCTACGTGACTTTACCGAAAAAAACCAAAGAATAAAAAGATTCCCCCTCTTTTTACAAGCTTTTATTTAGCTCACTGTTGTATCAAATCTTGTAACTCAATTTTAACCCATTTCCCAATGTGGTATCGACTGCAAACTTGGTATACTTATGGCATACTGATGACAATAACTATATTCTATCATAAAAAAGAAATATATATTTTTAAACATTTTTTATACGTTATGTTTCGGCTTGGGTCTAATTGTCCACGCTCAACTGACGTTGGCTGTAATGGACCACGGTCCCTTGCGTCGTGGCCAAGCTTCGGGCCACTTCCTGGAGTCGTGGAGTTCTTCCATTACTTGTACGTTTCTTAAAAGCGTGTTTTTTTTTAAAATATTACTTATTCACCTGAAGACGGTTACTTGTGTTGCGATCGAAATGTCGTGATATACTATTTT